TTTTGAATGTCCAGCGCCCCACGTGGGTTTGACAGCAATTGCTTTTTGTCGTTTTGCCAACCACTTATTCCAAAGCTAGCCTGCCAACATTTATTAAGTGGCCACCTTTTGCCTTAGATGAATTAATCTTCAGCTCCACTGCTCTTGCTCATTGTTATCTCTCTCAGCAAAAACATTTATCCACTAAGGTTTTCCTCTTCTTCCTCTACTATTTCAAAGAATTTGGAGAGCTAACAGAGACCACTGAAAGCACCAACACATTTAAAACTCCTCCTTTCCACTTGCAACCACTTTTTCTGAAGTCTCACTAGAGGTAAGAATCTCTTTCTTTTTTTTTTTTGGTACTAGTTTGCTAGCAAATAATTTTTTCCTTGGGCAAACTCCAAGGTTTGCACAACCGTAGACCATTTATAAGACTCCATCTTCATGTAGTCCAAGGATTAACACTCTTGTCAAGCCCAACATGAAAACATTAACATACCTTTTTATTTTGGTTGTATTTCACCGCTAAGTCACAAGCGATATCCCGAGGACTCCTTGGTCACTTTGTCTCATTTTTTTTTTATTCCCCCGCGGTCTCTTACGTCCTTGCATTTTCAGGTTTGAAAATGTCCATGGACTTCAACGAGTCTAATGATGTCGAAATCCTAGCCCGACGACCCCACAGACGTAGGCAAAAAGCTAGTGCTTATATTGATGGGTCGGTGTCCACACTTGTAGAGGATGACGTCCGTAGGTTCTATGACAAATACTATATTCCTGACGCTTGGAATTTCTATATTCCGGAGCCCGGAGAGGGTAGTTTTGGCGAAACTCCTCCTGGATGGCTTTGTCTTTACGAAGACATGTTCAAAAATGGTCTACGATTCCCTCTACATCCGACCATCGTTGAGATCTTGAATTTTTACAACATTTCTCCCGCTCAGCTAACTCCTAACGCTTGGATGATCATTGTGGGGTTTGTCCTCCTCGGGGCTTCAGTACCCATACCCACGAGCGCTAGGGTCTTCAGCTCCATTTACCGCCTCCAGAACCACCCTAGTTGCGAAGGTCTCTTCTATGTTGTGTCGAGGTCCTGTTCTAAACCCTTGGTAGATTCTTCCAAAGACACAAAATATTGGAGGTCGAAATTCTTCTACGCTTATTCGGGTGATCCTTGGGATTTTCCTTGTGGATGGAGCGACGAGGTCTGCCGGCCCGTCGAGTTTGAGCTCTCTCATGACGAGGAAAAGGCTAAGTTAGCTCTTTTACTCAAAGGTCCCGCGAGTTTAACCGTTTTACTAAAGGAGAACAACTTGATTGCGGCTCGCTTGAGCCATGCTCCACCGACTACGAGTGTCGACATTAGTACGAACAAACCGCAGATTTTAATAAGTATCGCATGTACTCATTATTTATAT